TTAAGATTTATTTTAATAAATGTAACCTTTGCAAGCCAATTAATGATATCACCATCTTAACAAACTAAAAAGAAAAACCATATGATTATCTAGTAGATGCAGAAAATTTGACAAAATTCAACATCCACTACCCATTTTTTAAAAAAATATCAGCAAAGTAAGGATACAAGAGATTTTCCTCAACATGTTAAAGGACATCTTTAAGATATCTGCAGCAGGACTTTGTGAGACCGAGGCGGGTGGATTGCTTGAGCTCAGGAGTACTAGAATAGCCTAGGCAACATGGTGAAACCCTGTCTACAAAAAATCACAAAAATTATCTGGATGTGGTGGCACACACCTATAGTCCCAGCAACTCAGGAGGCTGAGGTGAGAAGATTCCTTGAGCCTAGGAGGAAGAGGTTGCAGTAAACCAAGATTGTGCCACTGCATTCTGACCTGGATCACAGAGTGAGAACCTGCCTCAAAATAAAATAAAATAAAATAAGTTATTTGCAGCTAACATCCTATGTAATGAGGAAAGTCTGAATGGTTTTCCCTCAGATCAAGAATGAGACAGGAATTTCAGTTCTTCCCTCTTCTATTCAACATTGTACTGGAGGTTCTAGCCACTGTAATCATTTCTGAAAACAGGTGAGTGGCATGTAGGAGAATGAAACTGGATCCTCATTTCTCACCTTATACAAAAATCAACTCAAGATGGATCAAAGACTTAAATCTAAGACCTGAAACTATTAAAATTCTAGAAGATAACATTGGAAAAACTCTTCTAGATATTGGCTTAGGCAAGGATTTCGTGACCAAGAACCCAAAAGCAAATGCAGTAAAAACAAAGATAAATAGCTGGGACTTAATTAAACTAAAGAGCTTTTGCACAGCCAAAGGAACAGTGAGCAGGGTAAACAGACAACCCACAGAATGAGAGAAAATCTTCACAATCTATACATCTGACAAAGAGCTAATATCCAGAATCTACAACAAACTCAAACAAATTAGCAAGAAAAAAACAAACAATCTGACCAGGCACGGTGGCTCACCCCTCTAATCCCAACACTTTGGGAGGCCAAGGCGGGTGGATCACAAGGTCACGAGATCGAGACCAGCCTGATCAACATGGTGAAACTCCTTCACCACTAAAAATACAAAAATTAGCTGGGCATGGTGGGGCACGCCTGTAATCCCAGCTACTCAGGAGGCTGAGGCAGAAGAATTGCTTGAATCCGGAAAGCAGATGTTGCAGTGAGACAAGATCGTGCCACTGCACTCCAGCCTGGTGACGGAACAAGACTCCATCAAAAAAAGAAAGAAAGAAAGAAAGAAAGAAAGAAAGAAAGAAAGAAAGAAAGAAAGAAAGAAAGAAAGAAAGAAAGAAAGAAAGAAAGAGAGAGAGAAAGAGAGAGAAAGAAAGAAGAAAAAAAAGATCCCATCAAAAAGTGGGCTAAGGACATGAATAGACAATTCTGAAAAGATAGACAAATGTCCAACAAAGATATGAAAAATGCACAGCGTCACTAATGATCAGGGAAATGCAAATCAAAACCACAATGAGATACCACTTTACTCTTTCAAGAATGCACACAATAAAAAACTAATAGATGTTGGCATGGATATGATGAAAAGGGAACACTTCTACACTGCTAGTGGGAATGTAAACTAGTACAACCACTATGGAAAACAGTGTGGAGATTCCCTAAAGAACTAAAAGTAAAACCATCGTTTGATCCAGCAATCCCATTACTATCTACCCAGAGGAAAAGAAGTCATTACATGAAAAGAGATTTGCACATACCTGTTTATAGCAGCACAGTTTGCAGTTGCAAAAATGTGTCTCACACACACACACACAGACACACACACGCTATGGACTACTACTCAGCCACAAAAAGGAATGAATTAATGGCACTCACAGCAACCTAGATAGGATTGGAGACTATTATTCTAAGTGAGGTAACTCAGGAATGGAAAACCAAACATCCTAAGTTTTCACTCATAATTGGGAGCTAAGCTATGAGGATGCAAAGGCATAAGAATGACAAAGTGGTAATCCCGGCACTTTGGGAGGCCGAGACGGGTGCATCACGAAGTCAGGATATCGAGACCATCCTGACTAACATTGTGAAACCCTGTCTCTACTAAAAATACAAAAAATTAGCTGGGCGTGGTGGCACACGCCTGTAGTCCCAACTACTTGGGAGGCTGAGGCAGGAGAATTGTTTGAACCCAGGAGACGGAGGTCTCAGTGAGCTGAGATCACGCCACTGCACTCCAACCTAGGTGACAGAGCGAGACTCCGTCTCAAAAAACAACACACAAAAAAATGACACAGTGAACTTTGGAGACTTTGGGGAAAGAGTGGGAAGGGGGTGAGAGATAGGAGACTACAAATCGGGTTGTGTGTATACTGCTTGGGTGATGGGGGCACCAAAATCTCACAAATCACTGCTAAATAAATCACTGGTGTAACCAAATACCACCTGTTCCCCCAAAAACCTATAGAAATTAAAAATAAATAAAAATGTTTAAAGGAGAAAGGAAAGGAAAAAGGAAGGGAACTGAAAGACATCCAGATTGGAAAGAAATAAGTAAAACTCTTTTTATTCATAGATACTGTCTTCTGAGCTTCAGCAGCTTTTCAATACTCAACTCAATAAATCCAGAATGCTCAATAAAATTCATTAAAAAGCGACTTAAACTAATAAATGAGTTTTGCAAAGTTGCAAGATAGAAGATCAAGATACAAAATCAAGTGTGTTTCTCTACATTAGGAATAAAAATTAAGAAATTGACATTTTTGAAATAATACTATTTATCATAGCATTAAAATATAAAATGCTTATGGGTACATCTGAAAAGCTATGTGAAAGACCTGTACAATTAAAACCAAAAAATGTTTCTGAGAAAATTTTTTGAAAAAACAAAGGAGGCTGGGCGCTGTGGCTCATGCCTGTAATCCCAGCACTTTGGGAGGCCGAGGCAGGTGGATCACGAGGTCAGGAGATCAATACCATCCTGGATAACACGGTGAAACCCCGTCTCTACTAAAAATACAAAAAAAATATAAAATTAGCTGGGCATGGCGGTGTGTGCCTGTAGTCCCAGCTGCTGGGGAGGCTGAGGCAGGAGAATGGCGTGAACCCAGGAGGTGGAGTGAAACCTACCCATTATTATTTTGTCTTTGGAAAACTCCAGCTCCTTCATGGTAACCATTTCTTTTCCATCAACAGCTACGTTTAATGCAGCCTGGTTCACAAGATTCTCCAACTCTGCTCCAGAAAAGCCAGTAGTACCTCGAGCTATAATTTCTGGATCAATGGCTAATGTAAAAAGAGAACACAACACTAAAAGTGCAAAACAGGTAAAAAGAAGCTCTTCACAAAGAACTCACATTCTGGCTGGGTGCAGTGGTTCATGCCTGTAATCCCAGCACTTTGGGACGCTGAGGCGGGTGGATCACCTGAGGTTAGGAGTTTGGACCAGCCTGGCCAACATGGTGAAACCCCGTCTCTACTAAAAATACAAAAATTAGCTTACCGTGGTGGTGTGCACCTGTAATGCCAGCTACTTGGGAGGCTGAGGCAGGAGAATCACTTGAACCCCGGAGGCAGAGGTTGCAGTGAGCCGAGATCGCACGGTTGCACTCTAGCCTGGGCAAAAAGAACGAAACATTGTCTCAAAACAAAACAAAACAGAAACAAAACAAAACAAAACACAAACGCAAAAAAACAAAAACAAAAAACTCACATTCTGAGGGAAAAAAAGAAAATAGCTAGCTATAGCTATTCTGAGCCATAGTTTAGACATTTTTTCTCTGAATTTCATCTGGAAATACTTACTTTGGACATAAAAGGTGCCCTAATTATAGGAAACATATATAGTTTAATGAATTGATCCAGCTATCTCTGAAACTACTGCAGCTTTAATAATTTCATTTATTACTAAAATGGGTAATACATCTTCATATGTTTTGTTTTATAATTTGCATTCTTCTCTTTTGGCCCCATACTGACTATATCATGAGCTACTGTTTCTGAAGCTTTTTCTGTTATTTTGCATTTTACATTCATCTTAGAAAATATGTATATACATATATATTTCCTCAAATATTATCTGTCTGAATACTCTAAAAAAACCTTTCTTTAGAATCAGGGTTCAAAACAATAGAATCTCCTGGATACACAATAACTAAGGAATGGACTTTTAAATGAACATACTAATGGTAAAAAAACAGATGATAAAAATGAACTGGTCTTTTAATATTAATACATTTACCCTGAAAGGAGCACACACAGGGTGAGTTGTGTATCACCACTTTATAGAAATGATAATGTTTGTTTCGATATAATTAGACTTATATTGATCGAACTTTATTTTATTGAGATACCATTTCAAAATTTCTGTTCGACCTTTTACATCTGTCCTTGGAACTGTAACCTGCACGTCAAAACGACCAGGAAGTATTAAGGTACTACAGGAATAATGTAAAAGGAAAATATGAATTAATAAACTGATGATGCTAAAGCTCAGATTCAACAGGACTGACACCCTAATGACATGAGTGGGAAGCCAAGGGCAGCCAGAGAACAGATGGAGTTTTGTACGTAAATATTCAGATAATTCCTTTTGAAACAAGGCTCAAGTAACAGTGTCAATAACCAGAAGGCAGAACAAGGCTCATTTAGATACATGTGTGTACCTAGATAGCCTACCCCTCAGAAACAAAAGCATGAAAGCAGCTCAGTTCAGGAACAAATAATTCCACAAAAAACTGTTATGAGAAGCACACATCTAAGTGTGTGGTTAGACTTGTATGGAATGTTAGACTAAGTACAGAATGTTAGACTAGAGTCTTAGGCAGTGACAAACTAGTGATCAAATAAAAATATGAATAACTTGTACAATAAATTTTTTTCATAGTAACTTTAAACCTAGTTATAATGCTACAGGGAATTTATTTTAAAAATGCTGTCTACATAAAACTTTTGTGACATATAACAAAGAAATATTTTAACAGTTTTATTGAGATGTAATTCACATAACAGAATTTAAAGTGGATACTTCAGTGGTTTTTAATATATTCAGAATTGTACAACCATCAGCACAATCTAATTTTAGAATATTCCCATCCCCACAAAGAAATCCCATATCAAGTGGCAGCCATTCGCCACTCTCCCTAACCTCTGGTAACAGCTAATCTAATTTGTCTCTGTGGATTTTCTTATTCTGGACATTGCCTATAAATGGAATCATATAATATGATGTTTTGCAATGGACTTCTTTTAGCATAATTTTGTAGCATGTAAACAGCACTTCACAAAAATCTTCTTTTAATACTTACTTATCTAATGCCTCTGGGAAGTTTGTGGCTCCTATTATGATAAGTCCTTCATTGGGTTGACAACTACATAGGAAAATATGTCATATTTTCACTAACATTGAAGCACAGCACACATGTAGAAATGCTCTACACAAAACATTTTTTTTTTTTTTTTGAGACTAGGACTCCCTTTGTGGCCTAAGTTGGAGTGCACGAGTACCTTCATAGCTCACTGTAGCCTCAAATTTCTGGGAAGAAGTGATCCTTCTGCCTCAACTTCTCAAGTAGCTGGAACAACAGGCACATGCCACCATACCTGACTAATTTATTTTTATTTTTTATTTATTTTAAAAAATTTTCTCCCCAATTTCTAGGTACAAGCCACTGACTATTTTCTTTCTTTCTTTTTCTTTTTTGAGATGGAGTCTCTCTCTTGTCACCCAGGCTGGAGTGTAGTGGCGCGATCTCTGCTCACTGCAAGCTCCACTTCCTGGGTTCAATGCCATTCTCGTGCCTCAGCCTCCTGAGTACCTGGGACTACAGGCGTCCGCCACCACGCCCAGCTAATTTTTTTTTTTTTTTGTATTTTTAGTAGAGATGGGGTTTCACTATGTTAGCCAGGATGGTCTCAATCTCCTGACCTCATGATCTGCCTGCTAAGAAAAGAGACTAATACCACCAGTCATCTGTGGCTACATATCTTCACAATCATCTGGTCTATGTAGGAAAAGATAACCTAATATAAAAAAGTTTAGGTGCCTGGTTAATTTTTGAAAAAATTACTTTCAAGCATACCAATTCAAATTATTCGCTCCTGGGCTTCCTATGTAGTTTCAAAATGTCTTATATTGACTTTTAAGACACTTCTTTCAAAACAACATCAACTCTTGCTTTTTACATTATAAACATTGAGGTAAGCTTTAAACCTGCCACAACATTAAAAGCTAGTCATAAACTGTGTAGAAACAAGTGTATTTCTTCAAATAGACTACTAGTCTCAGCTTGAATCACTGTTTTTCTATCTTAAGTACAACAACAAATGAAAAAGAATATAAATACCACAAATTAAATGAGTTGATATTCAAATATCCAATTAGTAGTGAAAACAATACAATAATGAGAGAAAAAGCTTGTCTTGATTTCTTGCTTGAGGGACTACTCTGTTTCCTATACACATCACATTTTTCATATCTCTAGATATGAAATGCCTTATGGAAATAATTTGCATAAGACCACTTCTACATATATCAAATGCTGGGAGGCATCACCATATTCTAAGACAAAAGGAGACTCAATTACCCATCCATTTCAGCAAGAAGTTGATTTATGGTCTGCCTTAAATATGGATGCATTGAGATTCAATTCTCTTCCCACCAACAGAATCTAATTCCTCAATAAATGTAACACAAGGAACATTCGCATTTCTTCCCCTAAGACAACAAAAAAGATTCAAATAAGCTGAAAGAAGTTAACAGTTTTGAACAAGATAAATATTAAAATTCTATAAAACTGTCAAAAGCCAACAAAAATATTCATTGTAAGAAAATACACAAAAGGAGGTCAATTTTTACTGATTTAAGAATAGTAGCTTCGGGAGGAAAAAAAAAAAAAACTATACCAAAGAAAATGATTTAAAATAAAAGCAATTAGGCATTCATTCTTCCTAGATATACAAATATCATATACAATTAGGTTTGAAGCTTATTACTCCCTAATTCCATACTATAAAATTGATGAATAAAATGAAAAAAAAAAAAACCTAAGAGATTTTTGGTAGCCTCCAACCTCATTTTGCACTTCCACTAGCTCTTTCAATAATTCATATATTAAGCTATCCAAATCAAGATCCCACAGTTGCTATTTTAGCTATCAAAACTAATTAGCATGCAAAGCTAGAGGCCCCAAAAAATAGAAATTAAAAAAAGGAAAAAGAAAAGTAATTATCAAAGAAAAGGGAAGATACACACTTCCCTTAAAATTAACAAAATTTAGTATTGTATGAAAGATACATCAAAATGTACTAAAAAGATTTCTGATACTGCTGACTCCCACACCACAAACATCTCATCAAATTTGGATCTAGAAGCATAATAAAAAGGAACATCAGCTTCTCCTGCTCAGGAAGTGACTTTCCAGTCCCTGGGAGTCCAACTAAAAGAATTCCTAAAAGAAAACAAAACAAGAATGATTCAAAGTATTTTTTAAAAATCCCCCGATATGAACCTATAAAACAAATAGTTATTCATTTATATAATTTTCAGGTTAAGGTCATAACAATAAGCAAGATTTTGAAACACAGTAAACCATACTTGTGTCAGCTATAGGTTCACTTCAGAATCTTGTCCAAAATTAATTTTCCTGTATCATGTAAGTATTGTTTACATACCAACAACAGACATGACAGGGAGAACCTTAAGGCAAAAAAATACAAACCCTTTTATCACTAAATAAGTAAGATAAAAATTCAAGTAGAAATAGATTAAAAGACTAAACAATCAAATGCAATTCATGAATCTTGAATTGACAATATGATATTAAGGAAATAGTGTTAATTTTCTTTGGTGGGATAAGATTATTATGTTTATTTAGGACACTGTCCTTATTCTTAGGTGATGTATAATGAAGTCTTTAGATGTCAAGTAGTTGATGTCTATAGTTTTCTCTCAAATGTTTGGGTGGGGGGGAAACACACACATATACAGAAAGCAAATATGACAAAATGTTAACAATTGTTTAGTCTAAGTTGGTAGGATATGGACGTTAATTGTACTGTTCTTTCAAGGTTTTCCATATGTTTGAAAATTTTCATAATATCATAATAATTTTCACGTTAGAAAAACAGAATTGCCTGATTTGTATGTTTTTGTAAATATACATATTACATTTAAAAAGCAACAAAACTTCTTTACATACATGTTTGCTGCATTTTAACATTAAAAAATTACAGTAAAGAAAGCTCAAGCTCAAAGATAGCTTTATGACTATTCTAGTATTGCCATGTTTCAGTGATACTTAACTGGTTTAAATCATATTAATTTCTGTGGATTACATCTTGGTATCTGAAGATTTTTCTACAAATTTATACTACTCAAATTTTCTACAAATTTAAAATACTCCTTGTGATTAGAAAGAGGAAGAGTGAGGCCGGGTGCAGTGGCTCAGGCCTGTAATCCCAGCACTTAGCGGGGTCGAGGCGAGTGGATCACGAGGTCGGGGGACTGGCTAACATGGTGAAATCCCGTCTCTACTAAAACCACAAAAAATTAGCCAGGGTTGGTGGCGGGCACCTGTACTCCCAGCTACTCAGGAGGCTGAGGCGGGAGAATGGCGTGAATTCGGCAGGGGGAGCTTGCAGTGAGCGGAGATCGTGCCACTGCACTCCAGCCTGGGCGACAGTGCGAGACTCTGTCAAAAAAAAAAAAAAAAAAAAAGGAAAGAAAGAAAAGAAAAAAAAGAGGAGGAGAGTAGGTCGGTCACGTGGCTCACGCCTATAATCCCAGCAATTTGGGAAGTCGAGGCTAGTGGATCACCTGAGGTCGAGAGTTCAAGACCAGCCTGACCAATATGGAGAAACCCCGTTTCTTTCTACTGAAAAAAAAAAAAAAAATACCCGGGCATGGTGGAGCATGCCTGTAATCCCAGCTACTCGGGAGGCTTGAGGCAGGAGACTCACTTGAATCCGGGAGGGGGAGGTTGCAGTGAGCCGAGATCGCATCATTGTACTCTAGCCTGGGAAACAAGAACCAAACTCCGTCTCAAAAAAAAAAAAAAAAAAAAAAAAAAAGGCGGGGAGGAGTGTAACTATTAATACTTCTGTGGTTTTAAACATTCACTCCGTGATGTGATAGCACTGCTTTAATAAATGTGCCCTAAATTAGCAAAGGTTCTTTGCAGATAATTTCATACACTGCTGTATTCTCACTAGACATAGGTGGCTGTATAAAAACAAGCATTAAAAAGGAGTGTCATCCTTTAACTCAGCAACTCCATTTCTAGAAATGTAGTCTAAGGAATAATTAAACATGAAGGCAAAGCCTTGAATTAAGATGATCACCACAGTACTATTTTTAATAGCAAAAGACTGGAAACCAAATAAAAATTGAATATAAATGGTTAAATTGTGATACAACCATAAATTAGAAGGATACTATGAAGTCATTAAAAACCATGTTAACCATGAGAAAACATCAGACAAAGCCAAACTGAAAACATTCTATAAATAATTAGGCAAGTACTCTTTCAATTTTAAAAAGCATGATTAATCCTCTTCTCCCCACTCCCTCACAAAAAGGCTAAGGAATTGTTTCATTAAAACAAACAAACAATAAAAATCTAAATGTTATATGTGATCCTGGATTGGGTCTTCAACTGGGGAAGAGGGTAAGGATCAGGGTAACACTACAACGGATATAGACTGTAAATTTCATAATGGTTTTGTAGATATGTTAAATGTCTTTTTTGTGTTGTTGTTTTTTGAGATGGAGTCTCACTCTGTCCCCCAGGCTGGAGTACAGTGGCTCAGTCTTGGCTCACTGCAACCTCCACTTCCTAAGTTCAAGCAATTCTCTCGCCTCAGCCTCCCGAGTAGCTGGGATTACAGGCACTTGCAACCAAGCCCGGCTATTTTTTTTTTTTTTTGTATTTTTAGTAGAGACGGGTTTTCACCATATTGGTCAGGCTAGTTAGAACTCCAATGGCCCCTGGTTCAAGACCAGACTGGTCTTGAACTCCTGACCTCAAGCAATCCATCTGCCTCCACCTCCCAAAATGCTGGAATTATAGGTGTGAGCCACCACACCCAGCTAATGTCCTAATTTTCGTATTACTCTGGAGTTATGTAAAAGAATACACTTAGGGGTGACTATGTTTACAATTTACCCTCAAATACTTAAAAATTTATTTACTGACAAATAATTTTTATATTTATATATGTGTAAAGAGACAAAGTGAATGATTTTTATAAGGGAGCTAGGTTGAGCGCACTGGCTCATGCCTGCAGTCCTAGTATTTCGGGAGGCCAAAGTGGGTGGATCGCTTGAGCCCAGGAGTTCAAGAGGAGCCTGGGCAATATGGAGTAATCTTATCTTTACAAAAAATACAAAAATTAACCGGCATGGTGGTGTGTGCCTGTGGTCCCAGCTACTTGGGAGGGTCACCTGAATTCAGGAGGTCATGGCTACAGTGAGCCATGATTGCATCACTGTACTCAAGACCGAATCTAAAAAAAAAAAGAACTAAATATTAAAAATGTGTGAGTCTAGGTTAAGGATATGAGGAGCAATCTATGTACTATTGTTGTAACTTAAAGTCTGAAATTATATAAAAATTTGCAGTTACAAAAAAAAAGGCTGTGGAATTTGTTCAGAATGATCATCCATTTTGTAAAATAGCAATTAAGACTTAAACTTCAATCAGTTAAAATTATATTAGTGATATATTACAGGGTTTTTTTTAACATCAAATCATGGGAAAGAAAAGATATCTTACCTTTCAGAAGTTTACCTCCAAGAACCGTAAATTTTTGTGAATTTTTCAAGAATTCAACAACTTCCTGTAATTCTTGTTTAGCTTCCTCCACCTAAAGTGACACAATTTTTCAAATAACTTTAGATAATGGATACATTTGGTTAGATTATCAAGGCTTCTCTTTTGAAAATCATAAATTTAATTTGGATATGGAATTAATCTGGCCTTCTTTATTTCAGTGAAAGAAGTACACAAAAATGGCCCCTTATAAAACACACAAAGGGTTTTCCCCTGACCATTATTTCCAGTTATGCAAAATCTCCTTACTATCCCCAAAAAATCATTCTGAATTTTCGTTTTCTCAGTGAGAAAACAAAAGTCAAATACGTTGGGCATAGTTAAAAATAAACTACCTAATGAGGAGCAGACTTAAACATGAAACATATCTTTATGCCAAAGGGCATTCCAAAAATGTACAATTATTGTCATGATTCACTTATTATTTCAAGAAAAAGTCCCAGACATATTTCCAGGAAATATTATACTTATTAAAGAGCAAAGTTATGTTTTTTTTGTTAGACTTGGAATGGTCTTTGAAAGTTATTCTGATTAAACCATTAATTAAAAATGTACTAATGTTGTCGGGCGTGGTGGCTCACGACTGTAATCCCAACACTTCGGGAGGCTGAGGTGGGCAGATCATGAGGTCAGGAGTTCAAGATCAGCCTGGCCAAGATGGAGAAACCCCGTCTCTACTAAAAATACCAAAAAAAAAAAAAGAAAAAAAAAATTAGCTGGGCTTGGTGGTGGGCACCTGTAATCCCAGCTACTCAGGATGCTAAGGTAGAGAATTGCTTGAACCCTGGCGGTGGAGGCTGCAGTGAGCCAAGATCACACCACTGCACTCCAGTCTGGGTGACAAAGTGAGACACCATCTCAAAAAAAAAAAAAAATTACTAACATTTTAATCAAGTTAATGGTTAAAAATAAAGCATTTTCTTTTCACAGAGTGTGTGTATATATATATGTGTGTGTGTGTGTGTATGTGTATGTGTGTGTATATATATACACACACACACACACACACACACACACACACACACACACACACATATATATATATATATATGAAAGCTTTGCCCACTCCTAGGTCCAGAAGTGTGTACATATGTTCACCAAGAGATGTGTACAAGAATATTCACACCAGCTCTATTTGAGCCAAAAACTAGAAATAACCCGAATGTCCACCTAAAGTAGTATAATTGCACAGTGTTGTGGTATTTGTATAATGGAATACTATGCAATAAGGATAAATAAACCACAGCTCAAATAACTGATGGATCTCACAAACATCATGTTGAATAAAAGAAGCCTCAGTCAGGTGTGGTGGCTCATATCTGTAATCCCAGCACTTTGGGAGGCCAAGGCAGGCAGATCATGAGGTCAGAAGTTTGAGACCAGCCTTGCCAACATGGTGAAACCCTGCCTCTACTAAAGGTACAAAAATTAGCCAGGCTTGGTGACAGGCACCTGTAATCCCAGCTACCTGGGGGACTGAGGCAGGAGAATCGCTTGAACCCAAGAGGTGGAGGTTGCAATGAGCCAAGATTGCGCCACTGCACTCCAGCCTGGGTGACAGGGCAAGACTCTATCCAAAAAATAAAAATAAAAAAAAAGCGTCATACAAAAGAAGATATTCTATATGGATTACATTTATCAAAATCCAAAAACAGGCAAAATTCATGTGTGGTATTAGATAGGAAAGTGTCCCTAGGTAGGGAAGACGGTAACCAGAAGGAGGCATCAGGGAGGTTCTGGGCTTCTGATAATGCTCTGTTTCTTGAGCTGGATACCTATAACACAGACACTTTTTGAAAATTTATTCACCTTGGTGTGAATTTGTTAAACTTCAATGAGATTTATGGTCAAAAAAAAAAAAAAGACAACTTGAAAGATAATATCCATGTGCTAAAAGAAGACTAAAATACATTTGGTCAAAATAATAGATACAATGCCAATTTTAAGTTGTAGGGATAAAGGAGAAGAGATTAAACATAATTTACTATTCAAATAAACTATATTATCTCCCCAAATTCTGCGGCAAGAGAATTCTCACTTGAGGAACGTAAGATCTATCAAGGAAAATAGTTAATGGGATCAAGGTAACGAATCAAGTTATTAAAAGCCCTTATTAATATTTAAGGCTATATATACAAGTATGCCTATATATTCAGAAATTCTAGGCAAGGAAACGATATTCCTATACAAGCTCTTTGATATTTGGTAAAAATTTGAACACAGGAACTACGTAATGGCAAAGCTGTTCTGATAAATGCTATTGAATTTGCTCTATATAAATTTAGGTCTTATGACAATTATAAAATTAATTCATTTTAGCATGGAAAACTTTGTAGGATCTATCTTAATTGTGATGTCTACTTTCATTATGCTTAGTCATCAGCATGGTTTTAGTTTAGTACTCAGAAATCCCCATATTCCAGGACAAGCGTGGTGGCTCATGCCTATTACCCCAGAACTTTCTGAGGCTGAGACGGAAGGTTTGTCTGAGCTCAGGAGTTTGAGACCAGCCTGGACAACAAAATGAGACTCTGTCTCTACAAACAAAAAAAAAAGGAAAAAATCAGCTGGGCCCGATGCCTCTCACACCTATAATCCCAGCACTTTAGGATGAAAAGATGGGTGGATCACTTGAACTCAGGAGATCAAAACCAACCTGGGCAACACAGCTAAATCCCGACTCTACAAAAAAAGTACAAAAATTAGCCAGACGTAGGGGCACACATCTGAAATCACAGTCACCTGGGAGGCTGAGGCAGGAGGATGGCTTGAGTCCAGGAGTAGAAGTGAGCTAAGATCACACCACTGCACTTCACCCTGGGTGACAGAGCCAGACACTGTCTAAAAAGAATAATAAAATTAAATTAAAAAATTAGCCAGGTGTGGTGATGCATGCCTGCGACCTCAGCTATAAGGGAGGCTAAGGCAGGAGTCTCACTTGAGTCCAGAAGGTCGAAGCTGCAGTGAGCCAAGATCACACCATTTCACTCCAGCCTGGGCCACAGAGCGAGACGCTGTCTCAAAAAAGAAAAAAATTACCTCATTCCAAAAGAAGTGTGGTATATTCAGTAAATAAGTATATACATTACAGGCAGAAAATAACAATGCCCTATCTGACCACAGCCTTAATACAGGCTCAATTTAGAAAAGGCATGCAGACCTCAAACACAATGAGAAGAGCCCTCCACACTGATGATTGAAGGTTTCAAATAATCACTGCACCAACCTCTTCCTCAATTGTTCCCTTTATACAATTCCAACAGGGTTCATAACCATTTAAACTGGAAAGGAAAGGAAATAACTGCTTGGTGTAAAACTATCATAATGATTCCCAATTCCTTATTCCCCAATAGTCTAAGTTGAAAAAAACATGAGACACAAGTATGTAAAGAGGAAAAGCAGAAATAATAACATAACCAGTCTCTTCAGATTTGGAAGAGTCCTCAGATCACGTACTTCAGATCCCTCCTGCAGGAAGAATTTCTTCCAAAACTTTCCTGAAAGATAATTACCCAGCCACTAGAGATCTCAGAAATCAAATATAATAGAGCAGATGTAACGGCAAAGCACAGAGAAGAGCACGGTGTGGGACTAAAGTTCTGGAATTTATATGTGGAAGAGATAAAAGAAATAGAAAATCAGTAGAAAAAAACATTTTGACTTGTATTGATGTAAATTCATGATCCCAAATTTCAAGTGAGCCCAACAGCTTTATTTCCCACTTCCATTCGTTCTCCTATTCCTACACAATTTACTTGCTCCGTAAATCACTCATTCCTCCTCTCGCAACCGTATTCTTTCTTCTCGTTACCTTGATTCTGTCAATTTCCACAACCCCCACCTACTAGTTTACCGACATTCCAACTTTATTTTGTACTATGAGATAAATTATCTGCGCTTCTCTGTCAAAAAAAAAAAAATCCAAGAATTGTTTGTAATCCTCTATTCCATCTCAATTCTTTTTACCTCTTGTAAACCCACTGCAGTCGGAATTTAACCCCTGCAACTCCATTAAAATTGCTCTTTATCAGGTACACCAGTGACCTACTGCTAAATCAAATGGTCAGTTCTCACTTGGCCCATCAATAGCATTTCACATTGCTGATCACTCCCCTCATCATAGAAATATTTTCTTCTAGGATACCTTTGTCACTTAACACTAGCAGTTCCTTCTTAGTCTTGGTTCCTGGCTTCTTCTCTCATGAACTGGCTTCTTCTTCTTATGAACTTTCAAGTGTTCTATAGCTCAGTATTTAGACTCTCTTCTGGTTACACTTACTCCCTGGGTAATCTCATCTAAACATGTGTACTTAACATATATGTTAAATTAAACATGTTATATGTAAACTTATGTTATATGTTATATATATATAAACAACATATATAGGTATATGTTAAATTAAACATGTTATATATAAACATGTTATATATGTTATATATAATATGTTAAATATAAATATAACATATAAATATATATAAATGTAATCTCATATTTTTAATTCTAGCGTAGACCTATCCCATACCTCCCAAGTGGTATATCCAAGTTACTCAAGTTTTCATTTGTATCTCTCACACCTAACATACCTAAAACTAAATTTCCAACCTTTGTCCCCCAAATCTGCTCCACTCACAGCCTTTTAAATCCTCAATAAAGGCCGGGCGCAGTGCTCATAGCTGTAATCCCAGCACTTTGGGAGGCTGAGATGGGCGGATCACGAGGTCAGGAGTTTGAGATCAGCTTGGCCAACATGGTGAAACCCCATCTCTACTGAAAATACAAAAATTAGCCAGGCATGGTGGCAGGCACCTGTAATCCCAGCTACTCAAGAGGCTGAGGCAAGATAATCGCTTGAACCTGGGAGGCAGAGGTTGCAGTGAGCCGAGATTGTGCCACTGCATTCCAGCCTGGGTGACAGGGCAAGACTCTATCTCAAAAAAAAAAAAAAAAAAATTCTATTGGTTTTACTTTCAAAAATGAACAAATCAGATACTCTAATACCTCAGAACCTTTGCTCAATCTGTTCCTTTGG